TAGATATACATCCACTTAACTAGTTAAAAGTTCGACGTGAACCACTTAATTATAGCTAGTTAAATGAATTAAGTCACTTAAGTTAAGTGACTCAACTTTACTAGAATAACGGTAAATTAACTTGCTTAACGGCAAAGTCGGCTCGGAATACAAGGACACGATTACGTAACGTAGGCATCTAAGCCAGCTTTGTTGTATTGTACCACCATTATCATCTTCTAGTTGGAAACAACGTACTTCAACAATGCTAAAAACAGCATCGAAATAGTCTCATTAGTCTGGTTTTCAGAAATTATTTTTAATATTTTGGGTAAACACCCAGCAAACGTCCGTTTTACGAATAGTCGATATTACCAATGACCTTTGCCCTTTGCATCATCGACCAAGTAATAACGTTAAAAAGTCCGATTGCGTACGTTTTTCAAAGTGATAATCTATATTTTTCTTAATAATAAAATCACATTTGTTGTATTTATTTATTGACAATCCAATCTTTGCTATTTCTGCTATAATAGTCGCTATTAATTCAATTTCAACGAACTACCACCAACGCCAGTCGTTAAAATGAGCGCACATTTTTACGATGACGAAATAAAAAAGTGTGTGGAAGTCAGCAACTTATTTGACACCGCGAAGCTAGATTTTCGCGAAGTGCATGTAAACAACAAAATAAAATAATTCGTTTTTTATCGAAGGTAAATGTAGCTAGGGCCAGGGCCTAGAGAATCTACCACTTAGATTGCGATAGAACACGCTGCTGCACTGGTCGTTGGTTCACACTGGTCGGCTAGGTTAGGTAGTGGAAACTCACACCTTGTCTACAGTAGTTTACAATTTTTTTTTTAACGAATACCACTTGGTTCGTAAAATACAGTAGATGTTTTATTAAACAAGCCTTTCGACCGTGTGACGTCGACGGCCTGAAACTGGCTGGCTGTTTATCTGGCTCTAACTTGACATCGAACGCAATTAGGGGATTATCGTATCATGTTTCAAGACGGGTATATCTAGATAAAGTTCGACGTGAACCAGGCTAATATCTCCTTTTAATTAGTCATTTTAATCTATGTCAGTGTGACCAGTGATGCGAATCAAATTATGCCAAGGGCGTGTAGCGTAAAACAACATTCTGGTAACATTCTATAATAACCAATGCTGTTAATAAACCACCCTTAGCTAGTAACTCACTGCTTTTAATAACCCACCCTATAAATAGTAAGCCAGTGCTTTTAATTAATAACCCACCCTTTTTAATATACATGTGGCCTCGAAAAGCAGCCCGTCTAAAGTTCGGGGGGAAAAAAGCCCAGGGCTTCAATTCGAGGTTTCCCGGTAGGCCAACGATGCCTGATAAAAAAGCGTACATAGCATAACGCAACCTTCTGGTAACATCCTATTATAACCAGTGCTGTTAATAAACCACCTATAGCTAACTTACTGCATTTAATAACCCACCCTATAAATAGTAAGACAGTGCTTTTAATTAATAACCCATCCTTGAATTGTAACCAAGTGCTCTCTTACCATGGAGGTATTTTATTCCCAAGCTCTTACTCAGTGCATGGAGGAATTAGTTTAAACTAATTCCTCTATCCTCAGTGTGACCACTGGGAAAAATCAAAATTCACAAGATCGAGTCTAAAATATCTCAAGATTGCTTTTAAAATCCCAAGATTCACAAAATATTAGTATATATAATATATAAATACAACTTCATATGAAAGTCCAATTTTTTAAGCTTTTCCAATGAATTATATACTGTACAGTATTTTGTACTGTATAGGCCACACGAAGGGTCTGGATTTTCGAGACCAGAAATTCGTTCGCTTTGGGGCGGAGGCAGATTCTAGGGTGTGTGGGCCCAGTGGCATATTTAGGAGTCTTGAAGGGGAGGGGTACATCTAGAAGTGTAGAGATACGGACCCTATTATTAGAAACTGTTGAAATTAAAATGCATCCAACAATCATTTCTAAATGATTACAAGATTACCAAATATGTGAATTAATCAGTCTAAAATGATATTCAAAGATATTATACAGCTAACCGCTAATGTTTGTTCGCATGTCTATTACGCACTATCACAGATGCATGTAAACATTAATGGTCCTAAAATTTGTTAGGAAATGGGCCATTAAAATTCATTCACCAATTTTGCTTCAAGCTGTTTGTTTTCAATATTATACGATGAAAATGTTTTAAAATCGTTTCATATAACGCTCCAAAATGTGATCTATAGGCAAACAACAGATGAAGGCTCTGAATTTTGACAAGCTGACCAAGCATGTTGCTGCATGATTAATGTTCAGATGCGATCACTATTCAAACAGATAAGGAGCTATTTAGACGTGGACCACCGTCACGCTGTCGTTGTTGGTGACTTTTTTCAGATGAAATTGTGAGTGTAAATATTTTTCAGTGTATATAGATAAGAAAGGTACATAAATAATGCACATAAAATCAATTTTCGATGTAGAATGGCGTCAGCCATCTGATTATTCCCCTATTAATAGTACCGATATTTCAAATACTTCCACGAATTATTTTATTGACATTAACTTACCTAATTCTTATATAATCACTTTAACAATAACATTCTAATCAAAATAGATTCACCATATCGAAAAATGTTGAATACCCACCCAATTCGTTGGCGATTACAATATGCCAATACGTATTCTCAACATGTAACCATTGGAAGGGTGACGAAGTCCCAATTTCAGATGATGCTAGATCATCGAGGCTATATCAATTTGGCGGCAACAACAAATTGAATGTTTTTCTATATTAAATTCTCTTATAATACTGAACGAGTAAGTAGGAACGCAGGTAGCAATGGATGGCCTTAATTGGGACCGGGAGGGTAGTTTGTTGAACTAACACACCCCTACCCCCGGTCGGGGAAAAATTAAATTTGTTGGGGAATTTCTTTTATTAAAATATACGGTAATACAATTTTGTGTTAATTATGGGATTCTTTGTTTAAAAAAGGATGTCAGGAGTACTAGACCATCTGTGGGGGGAACTAACCCCATGACGAAGGTACCAGTCCCCTTTCGGGGAAAAGCTGGCGCAACACTGCAACCCATACGTTCGCAATAGTAAATAACATTTCGCACATGCGGTAGCACAGATTCTAATCCTAATTATAATAAATGGCGAACGGTGCAAAGGTCTGAATCCGCGACTGGACACAATGTTTCACGAGATTTAACTTTAAAATGCACCTTATTATTTTTGGAGAATGTTGATAACGGCTTTAAACAACAGCTTTAAATCTACTAAGCTTCCAAATTGTCTTATTTTAAATAAATAAACAACCTTTATTCACAACTGTCTGGTAGTAGCCATTTTGTTCACTTTTAAAATTCCATATCATTCCAAAAATCCCAAGATTTAATGAAAATTTAACAAAAAAAATCCCAAGATCCCAAGGTGACGTTAAAAATCCCAAGATGGCTCTTACTTACATACACAAACATTCGTTTCGCCCTGAGAGAGAGGAATATAGCATCGAAGTGAGGCTCCTGATTAATTATTTATGAGTATATCTGACGTCATTGTGGTCTTCCTATGTTGTGATTGGCTGAAAGAAATCTGTATTACTTATGTGTACTGCAGAAAAAAATACGCGTCCGGCCATTAGTCAGACTGGTGGGGGTGGCAGGGGTGGGGTACTCAACAATGCTTGTAAAAATACCCGCTACCCCTATCCAAGGATACATGATTTTAAAATTAAAATTAGTGGGGTCTGAGAGCATCCACTCCAGACCCACGATGGTTATTGAACAACATTTTTTGCAACTCTGAATGCCCAGAAATAGATGCTGACAACTTTTAGGGCCGCTAGCACCTTCCCTTAAGGGGCAGCCATAAGAAATAAAGTTAGCATGGAGATAGAGTCTATGTTAGAAATATGGTACATCTGGATGCCTGGAAAGAGGAGCTGACAAACCTGCCACCACCCATTCCCATTCACAGAATGTGGTAGCATTGACCAAATTAAAATTAGTAGGACTATCTTAAATCTTGGGAAGACAAATATTATCAGGTCTACTGCGAATATGATATATTGTTCAAATTTAATTAAGTTGCTTATTTCTTCATGAATAAATAAAGTGCAAGAAATACGAATATATATATAATTCAAGGAATAACAATGACTATACTGTAATTATATTTACACGACGTGCAGGGTATTGTGAAATAATGCAATTAAGAAAAACGAATGTATAATTAATGCAAGGAATAACAATGACTATACGGTAATTATATTTACACGACGTGCAGGGTATGGTGAAATACAAACAATATCCAATTATATGAAACATGTTCTATGAATACACAGGATACAATATGCTATGAACTATCTTTGGAAATACAGTAGGGATAAGCGTACACGAATAACGTAGAGTTTCGTGAAACAAACCGCTGGTACAATTTTAATTACACTTACCAATTTCAGCCTGAAGCATAACAAATTATTTATCACGATCTAGATGAGTTGTTCTATCACTTGAATTGTTAAAATGTTTTAATTAAATCCTGTGTGTCCTTCTGGTAGACATTATGGCCATTACACTCAAATATTATAGATCTAACAGGTGATAAAGACATACCAAATACAGAGCATTAAACATTCAAGGGCTATCCAGCTTTTTGTGAAAGTGGAGTGGCACAATGTTAATGAATGTGTCTGGTTTTACTGGAGTGGGTTCAGAGGTCATACCGCGGAAAATTTGTTTATCTGGATCCTCCCCAAATTTGGTAGTTTTTTTTCTCCCCGGCCTGGGAGGTCCCATTGACGGAGGAGGAGAGGAGGATGTAGCCACTCGGACTCCACTGGTCCCACCACTGATTTTCATCATCACTGACCACAGTGTTTTACTCAAAATAACAATATAAATGAATTTTTTCAATGATGTTTATGGGTATCGGTATAGTCACACTGTGTGTTTTACCTTGTGTCATTTCATATACACCATTTTCGCGATAATTGGATAGAAAACTTTCGTTAACCTGGCAACCTTGCCTGGGGTACAACGACACCGCGGTGTACCAGTGATACCCGGAAGTGCCTATGCTTTTACATACAGTACAGTTACTGTGAAGTAGAGTAGCGAAGCGATTGTTTTCTTTTGTTGTTAAATTCTTTTGTGAAATACTTTAAGCCATTATTCTCCGGAATAAAAGAATGAGTGGAAAAGGTGCAAGAAAGATTTGCCAGGTGAATGGCTGCAGTAATAGCCAATTTAAGCTTCAACAATGGAAAAACGAGTTGTGTCCCAACCAGGGATTTTTTCGCAAGGATTGCTCTTGTTGTATTCAGCCCTACCAGCTCCATCGGTTTCCACAAGCCCATCGTCAAGAATGGGTGAAAAATTTAAACACAAAATTAACTATCAACGATCTTAAAGATTATCACAGAGTAAGTTGAAGATTGTTTATAATTTTTATTATGTAAAAATTGGCCCGGTCTCAGGAGAGCGTCCAACAACCTAGCACTGTAGTAGTGAACCACTACACTTTCCCACTGACATACCATTTTCGTTAGAGGAGGGTCTAGGCCTAGCCATACGGCCCTTGATTCAGGCAAAGGGGTTGTGTACTAATTACAAACCCTATGATTCAATCAATCTGAAGCAACGATTATGTGGGTTTCTATGTGAAAAAATGAAGTTGAAGACTCATTCAACTGATTATTTTGTATTTGTTTTTGCAGGTTTGTTCTGTTCACTTTGTTGATGGAAAGCCGTCAAAAGGACATCCATATCCGACGCTGCACATTGGATATTCTCTACATGTAAGTTATTTCCTAACTGTGTGTCTTTTAAAATTAGATTAGATTTTTTTCTTATTAAAAAATAAGCCAAAAATTAATAAACATGCTTCTTAAATTTAATTATAATTTGTTGGTTGCTTTATTTACAGAGTAATTGGAAACTAAGTCCAGGAAGGCGTGCTCCCCGGCAGCGAACTCGTGTCCAAACAAAAATGGACACAAACGTAGATGTTTACAATAAGGTACCACCGGATGAAAGGATGGATGTTGAAATAGTACAGCCAATGGACGTCGATGTGGAGCCAAAATACAAAGACGTGTCAACACAGTATTATTCAGCACAACCTTTGAACCACGACCACTGTTATGCCCAAAAATCTCAGGATAAATGTACACAAACACCAAGTGCACCTTCCATAGACACGCATGACATGAATGATAAGCAGTTCAAATTCTTTACTGGGCTATCATCTACCACATTTTGGGCTTTACTGTCATCAATTATGTGTTGGACCACAGAACTTCCATCACATTCTCTACCAGTGGCCGAACAGTTTTTAATGGTATTAATGAGACTACGTTTAGGTCTGTTGCTTCCAGATTTAGGTTATAGGTTTAAAATATCAACATCGACAGCAAGCAAAATATTTAGCAAGTGGACAATATTATTAGGACAATATTCAAAGAACCTTGTCCACTGGATACCGAGGGACGGCCTAAATAGGATACGTCCAAAATGTTTTGCGGAAAACTACTCTAAAGTTACATGCATAATTGATTGCACAAAAATATTTGTACAACGTCCTAAAGATTTAATGCAACGAGCGCAAACATATTCAAATTACAAATCA